GGTGGAGGCGGCATCAGCTGTGTGCTGCAGGACGGCGAGGTGTTCGAGAAGGCGGGTGTGAACGTGTCCGTCGTGTTCGGGCATCTGTCCGAGGAGGCAGCGCGGCAGATGCGAAGCAGAGGGAAGTCTCTGAAGGCCAAAGATGGTGAGGTGTGCGGCGGGGAGGTGGGTGGGGGAGCGGGTGCCTGCACCGAGTGTTCCCATGGGGGTGCTCTGGAAGCAGAGTCTGTCCTTTGAGTAGGTCGTGGGGAAGGCTAGGCTGGTCCATGCTCATTTGTGTCACGGTGGTTTCTAACCAGTAAGCCTTGCAGGTGGACTTTTGTATCCTTAGATATCAAGAGTGCTTCTCCCCTGTCGTGCTGCTTTAAGCAGCGCATTGCAGGCACAGGTTGTTTCTCAATAACGACGCCATAGCTCAGCGGTGAAGCAGCACAGGAGTTACCTGCTAAAGCAGTGGAGGGAGAGAACCAGAAAGACCTGAAGGCTAAAGAGGATTCAGCCCACGCTTGTGTAGCAAAGGGTGACTCTGAGGACTGGGAGTGATGTTTTGAGTGATCTTCATGTCACAGGTGCTCTAATGTATTGTTGCATTTTAGGACAAATACCAAGAAAATGTTTTAGTTAGGAAGTGCGTGGATGAGAAGTAAATTGCACGTTGATTAATAGTTATGGTGACCCAACATGAGAAATTTTATTGTAGTGGAACTTAAGGAAAAAAAAATAGTCATGTTCCTTAAATGATTATAAATTAAGTTATTTGAAAAACCTAAAGTTTTTTTCTGTGAATCTTTTTATCTAGGAAAACTGCCTTTTTGCGCCATGGGTGTGAGCTCTGTTATCCATCCAAAGAACCCTCATGTTCCAACCATGCACTTCAACTACAGATACTTTGAAATTGAGGAAGCAGATGGTAAGAACTATAATCCAGTGAAGTATGTATGAAATGCATGACTCTGTATGATGGAGGCGTGAACGCATGGCTAGGGTAAGGCGTTACAAACCAGCCCAGGTTTGTTCACAGCTGTGCCAAGAGGCTGTTGTGTAGCGCTGGATCTCTTAACCTCTGGGCCTTTGTTTGTCCATTTGTAAGATCAGTGTGATGCATGCATCTGGTACAGTAAAGGTGCTTGCAGTTTACTTTTTTGCAGCATACAACAGAGGTTTCAAACTTAAGTTAAACTGTAGAAGGTTATAAGCAAGTGTAAAACATGTTCAAAGAAGCAAGTGTAGAATTGAGTAGAAGAAAGGTCTGTGAGGACTGATAAGCATTCTGGTCAGGATGTACCTTTGTCTCAGAAGCTGGGAGGACATGCTGTCAGAAACACCGCTCTCTATGTGCACTATGCCATTTTTCCCTGAGTTTCTGCAACTTGCTGCTGTCAGAAGCAGGACTCTAGGCAAGGTGGTCTAATGCTGAGAGCCCGTCTGTACCTTGTGACAGTGTGCGTACTGTCAGAAGCTCAAAGATTTCTTTCAGTTATTTTGCCAGAGCATTATGGATAATTTCTAGTCAATTACTTCCCTAGATTTAATAATGATGTTCCCTTTTTTGGCATGCAGTAAAATGTTTCTGGATTCTTAAATAGGAGTTGCTAGCCTGTCTTGTGAAATCGATATCCTGTAGTCAGGGTCAGCGGTCCAAAATACTGAACAAATGGTTTTCACTGCTTTGACATTTGTTTCATGTTTTCCTGAAGTCCCTGGTCATTGCACTACCTTGAACTCAAATTTTTCTTGATCGATGTTTAGGAACACCACTGAATAATTATTTTGTTTTGTATTGTAAAAGTAGTTGTTAGTTCTTGGTGAACCACTAGCAAAGTATTTGTGTTTGGAAGCTTAAAAAAGAAAACGTTGCTGCTTGCCCCTCTCCTATAGGAACTAAACAGTGGTGGTTTGGTGGGGGGACTGACCTCACTCCAACTTACCTGAATGAAGAGGACGCTGTTCATTTTCACAAGACTCTGAAAGAAGCCTGTGACAAGCACGATCTGAAGCTGTATCCCAAGTACAAGAAATGGTAAGTGGGGAGAGATCCACTTGGGTGAACAGGCTCCACTAGGACAAGACTTGTGCCCCATGGACTGGCACTAATTCTCTGTACTGTGAAATGTACATGTTATGATAAATGTGCATGACTTTAGTGTGAGCCAGCACTGCAGTTCTGAAAATCCCACTCGAATTTTTCTGTCTTCAGTTTAACCTTTATTACCTTTTTTTTTTTTTTTCCCTAGGTAGGTAAAGGAGCTTGCTTGTCCTTAATGTAGAAGCTTCATAATTTTGATGGAGCTGTACTTTTTTTCCAGTGACACATTCACTGAGCGTTCAGCAGCATATTCTCTAAAGATGCAAACTTTGAATGCTCTTCTTGAACTGAGAGATACAGGTGATGGGATCTTTCACTGTTCAGTGGGGGCTTGCTGCTCTGTGTCCGATAATCCTATCTGCTACCAGCTGTGGTATCCAGGAAGGAGTGGTTACTCTTTTGTAAACTACCAGGTCTTGTCTGAGGACAGCAGATAAAGTGGGTGTTGTAGCGCGAGTGTGAACCACTTAGTGGAGATGCACATCTTACACAACCTTGAGACTACAGTCTTGTTCTCTGAGGAATTTTTGCATGGTAGTTCAGAGTGTCTGTCTTAATGGTCAGGTTGCAGCAAAAGTAGTCTATCAATGCCAGCTGCAAGGGCGTTGGAGAGAAGGATGCCTGCTCTTAGTCTGAGGGCAGCTCAGGAAGGACTAGTTGTGTTCCATGGACAAAGGCAGCTTTCTCAGTCTGAGCAGGAGTGTTTGCTGTAAAGTAGCAGCTGTGTAGAGAGGCATGTGGTTCTCCCTGACAGAACAGTGTGAATCTCCTCTGAGCTTTACTAATTAGTGTTGCCCCTTTTCCCACCTTTGTCAAAAGCTCTTGTTATGTTTACCACACTGTCTTCCTGATCTAGCTTTAAAGCTTTTGTCAGGCTTGTTCTCGTTTGCATTCCTCACTCAGCCTTTTTTCCTAACTCTTTCTGCTGCTATTAAAAAAAAAAAGCTGATCATCCTAGTGAATTAAAAAAATAGCTTACGTTATCTGTTACATCTCCACATCTCTCCCACTATGGCCATACCATTTATATTGCTGGAGAACACCAGATGTGGGTGGATAAATGCATGGAAAAGTAGTCCTTAAGGAAGGAAGGCTTTCCTTGCTGTTGATGGTTTCTGCTTCTGCTTCCGTTTGTCCCCCGTGTGAAGACTTGCAAGGCATGGCTGCCCAAGCAAGCAACTATAAGCAAGGCAGGGCATGGATACAATGAATCAGCTAATTTAAAGTAATTGCACACCTACGTACTCCCAGTAAGTGCAAAAGAAATTAATTGCCTCTCTGTTGTAGGATAAGCTGCACTGTACTCCTTTGTAAACTTGAACAGGAGCCATGAAAAGCCACTGCTAGAATGACTTCCAAGTTTAACTGTTAAAAAGCCTTTTTCCAAGGAAGGCTGCCGCACTTCTGATTTTTTTCCTTAAGCAACGCTGGTGTTCCTATCTGGTCTTGTGTTTTTAGATTCTTTTAGTTTTGATGCAGAAAACTAATTATTTCACAAGAATGGCAAAAAGAATAAAGAAATTATCTTCCAAGATCATTTTGAGTTCATCTGAAAGCTGTAAAAATAATTTGGGCTTATATATAATTCTATGAGTGAAATCTAGAAAGAGCTCTTAGGGTAAAGTTTTGAGATCAGGTGTCCCTTCTCCTCACAGGTAGAGGATATGGATTGGATCACCCTACATGGAAGCACCTGCCATGGTGTTTTGAGTGGTAGGTGTTCAGTGACTGTGCGGTGATGTGCAGCTTCGCAGAGACTGTTTAATCAAAGCTCTTACTACAAGTGAACACAGGAGTGCTTTCTAGATGCTCCTGTAACATCCTGGCTCTCAGCAGTCAGTGATAACAGAGTGGCACCTGGCACTGCAAGGAACTGACTTCTCATCAATATTTCACTAGTGCTATCCTGTGCCGCACAGCTGTTTGGAGTTCTTTTAATTTATTTGAACATTGTGGATCATATTAATAATTGTATGTTACCTCTTCTAGGTGTGATGACTACTTCTACATCAAGCACCGTGGCGAGCGAAGAGGGATTGGAGGCATATTCTTTGACGATGTGGATTCTCCCTCCAAGGAGGAAGTATTCCAGTTTGTGAAGAGTTGTGCCAAAGCTGTTGTGCCTTGTTACATTCCCATTGTGAAAAGGCACTGCCATGACTCCTTCACACCAGAGGAAAAGCTGTGGCAGCAGCTTCGGAGAGGACGGTGAGTACTGAAGGAGCAAAAGAATACATGGGAGGTGGATTATGCTGGTGAGAAAAAAATGAGCTAGTTCTTCATGGTTTCAGGGTTCATGTCCTGATGTGGTGTGCACTAAGTTTGCGTAAGCGCTCTAAAGCCTGACAGAGAATTTCAACGCTTTTGTGCACAGAACTATTTTTTAAATCCAATGCCAGATTCCTGGGGAGAGAGCAAAGAAGGTAGTAGCTCACCCTCATCTGTATCCCCCACTCTCCCACGTTGCCGCACAAGCAACCCATACAAAATGCCACAGTTTCTCTCCAACTCCTTCAAAAACCAAGAGAAGCTGCTGCTTTGTAACAGGCAAAGGAGCGCGTGTGTTCTTTGTGTCCTGAATACCCGCCACTCTCGCAGCCCAGTGATGTGGGATATAGGACTGCCCCATGACATGGGGAGCATAAGGGTGAGGGAGTTGTTTCCTATTCAGTAATGAAGTTAAACCCGAGAAAGTCATGGAATAACTGTACCCAAGAGTACTCTCAGCTTCTTACATATATATTTATTCTAACTGATCTCAGCATTGAAATGAGGACACAGTGACCTCTGTAAAGGAATAAAGATACGCAGGGGTTTTGTTTTTCTGGCATAGTCCAAAGTCACTGTAAGTTAAAGACTTTTGAGGATGCTTATTAACGTGAACAACTGTTAATGCTGCAAAAGCTTAAGTACATTGGTAGATACAGTTGCACTCCTTTCTGTGTGTCCTGTGATTATGTAAGCATATGGAGAAATGAGAATACATGTGCTTTGTGCAGAACTGGGGAGTCTTCAGTTTCTGGCTCTTCTGCAGAGAAATCTGTGAGAATGGCATAGAGGAGGCATAAGATTCAAGTTTAGATCACTGGCCTGCAGCAATTATTCAAATAAGCACATATGCTTAATTTGGTGGGACTGTTCTGGGAGTGTTGGCTTTTCAGTATCCTGCTAAGGTTCTTTAGGTTGTAGCCAGGACCAGCTCATGAGGTCTGGGTATTTCCCTGGTTCTGTTTGTAGGTTATTGAGCTAGGCTAAGCTCTTATTGCTGCAAATAGATAAGCGCTTCTCCCTTCCTGTGCCTCTGTTAAGTACTAAGACCTCAGTACTAGTTACTAAGATAACCCCTGCTGAATTGTCACTGCTCTGTTCCTATGCCGGGGGCAGAAAACTGTCTATTATGGCACTTAAAAGTCCCAGCCAGCACTCTGAAGCTGTCTGACTTCTGCTGATTTTCCGCTCACCCCAAGAAACAGAAAATTGTTCTGACATTGCTGCTTATGCATCTTTCAGCATGGAGGACTGCACAGTAGAGTTTTTCCCGTGGTCACTTCCAGTTCCTTTAAGGCTCCTCTTATGTCTGACACCAACACAAAAAGGAGTATTAGCATAACCAAGCTAAACTTGGCATCAAGCTTTCCAGCAGGGTTGAAGCCAGGGAGAAATAAGCTAGTAGAGCACCATGCAGAATGCTCTCCTTGAGTAGTTGGTCTGCTCTCATCTGTTACTTCTTGTGCTTTGTGGAGTTGCAAGGTCACACTTGCATTCTGCTGCAGAGTCTGCTAGAGAACAGTTATCCCCAAGCCAAGGTTCATTCTGACACCCAACACAGCAGAAAGACATGCTGGTTTTGTTTGGTGTCTGCTAGTTGAAGAAGGCACAAGTAACTTTGATAATAAGCTTGTTTTTCTTGTTGTGTCTGTTCACTCCCCATAGGTACGTGGAGTTCAACTTGGTTTATGACAGGGGTACAAAGTTTGGCCTTCTGACACCAGGATCAAGAATTGAAAGCATTCTTATGTCTCTGCCACTGACTGCAAGGTAAGGCTATAGCTATGTGGAGTTGCAGGTAGGCACTGTTCTTATTAAAATACTTTTTAGAATTAAATCAAAGCTCTGTCCTGGTGTCCAGTCTCTTTAACAGTGGTTAGTTCATACTTGATCCAAGAACTAACCAAATATATGCAGATGCTTCTCTGGTCTGCTGCACTTGTGCAGTTGGCAGTAATGACAAAAATATCTAGAACACAGCCTACATATTTTCTGACCAAAGAAAATAAAGTTGTTTTTTTTGTTCTTAGTACCTGTTGATAGATTTCTCCTGCTTGCTCTGTGGGGTTTTTTTAGTAGTTCTTTGAAACCATGTGAGCTTGTGGCAGTCCTGACAAGCCTGTGGTAAGCAGTTCCACAGTTAACTGAGTGTTGTATGAAAAAGTACCTCTTTGTTTTCTACTCGCACCTGATCACTTCATTTGACTTTTCAGTGAGTAACAGTTTTTCTTCCTGTTCATTTTCTCCATAACAGTTCTTATTTTACAGGCTTCTGTTTTTTTCATTGTCCGTTTTCCAGGCTGACGAGTCCCCCTCTTTTTAGTCTTTGTACAGTAGCTGTTCCATCCATACCTCTGATTACATTTGCCACTTTTCTCTAGGCTTAAGTTTTCTATGCCCTTTCTGAACTGGGGATAAGGAACAGGCAACGTAAGCTACGTACATGTATCCAAGATGCAGGTGTGCTGCTGACTCATACAGTGGCACAATGATGTTTTAGGTAATTATTGCTTTCATAATTCTTAATATGCTGTTTGCTGGTTTTGACTGCTGCTAAGCATTGAGCTGGCTTTTTCATAGAATTGCTATGATGCTAAGATGTTTTCTGGGCAATAAAATTTAACTCAGTCTCTCAACATGTATGTAACTTTTTTCTGGGTGCATCACTTTAGGTCAGTCAACAGTGAATTTCACCTCCCATTTTATTGCTCAGTTCCTTGGTTCGATATCAACATTTTTCAGATGCCTTTTTAGGTTTTAACCAATCTTGCTTAATCTTGCAATATCAATAAACTGTCATTTACTGTTTATGCCCCTTTTTAAGTTCCTTTTAGATATGTTGAGTAGCACAGGCCCTATCATGAATTTCATAGGACTTCATTAGTGACTTCCCTCCACTAGGATAACTGGCCTTTGCCTGATACCCGTTAATCGTGAAGGCAGTCTGGTCATCCCATATAGCTTCATCCCACTGCCAACACTAGATGGTGTGTCATGGTCCTACCTTTTGATTTCATTGCTGGGATGACCTGGTTTTGCTTGTTTTCATCAATATAAATAGCTCACTTAACAGCATGAATTGGTCCTTCCCTGGGAGAAAAAAAAAATTAAAAAGGTTGTACCCATCCATTTGTGATTGCTGACACTTTTCTTCTCTGTCATGCCTCTTAATTGCCTTTCCAATAAAAAGTGGTCTCTCATCAACTTTGTTTTTAAAACCAAGATTCAGCAAGGACTTGTAGTGCTTCCAGTCCAGCTTCTGGAAAAATTTGCCCTGGGTGGCTGAAAATATTGCATCGGGATCAAATCATAAAATTTGAAGCTGGTGATTTCCCCTAGGACTCATGTCCTCGCTCTCTTTTGTCTGGGTTCTTTTTTGGCTTGTCTTCCTCATGACACCAGCGTGTCACAGGAGACTGCTAAAAGATCTTTGCAAATAAACCTGCATGGATTATAGGGTAGGGGACATTGCTCTTTTTTTTTTTTTTGTTCTTCCAGCCTTTCCAGAAGTTGGGAAAAACATCAAGCTAACATTTCTCCTGTCTCTTCCCAGTGTTATTATTTTTACTAAACTTAATGATTTGTAGCCATATCTGTCTACCTGATGTGAGAGTATCAACAGTGTGTGTCGTTTTGCATTCTCAGAAGAGGCAACTCAACTCCAAACACAGCCTGGTGCAGGAGAGGTGGCAGCCAGCTGGGCAGTTGAGTGAGTTTCCCCTCTCCCTGCAGGTGGGAGTACATGCACATTCCTCCAGAGAGCTCCAAAGAAGCAGAAATCCTGGAGGTTCTGCGCAATCCCAAAGACTGGGTACACTGACACGGATTGTGAACAAGATGGATTGCTTACACTGAGCCATTATGAAAGAACAAGAATGCCTGCAAACCAGCTCATTCAAACTGCTGTTGCATGGCATTTTAGTAGAGCTATTTATACTCTTACCTCATGCCTTAATAATGCTGTAGACTTGTTATAACTTGCAAATATATGAACTAATTCTTTAAGATTGATCAGCTATTGGTATCACCCCATGTTGCTGTTGCCTTGTGAAGGACTGGCACTACCCTCATAGGACTACTGTGCATGCTTAAGAACTTTCTCAACCAATTAGTTTGACTGCAAAATGATGAACTACTGTGAAATGTCCTTCCAGTGAAATGAAAGCATTACCTGTGCCTAAAGAGCCCTGTTTGCTCCTAGAAAACGTTGGGGTGTTTTGAAAATATTTTTTTAAAGAATAAAGGGAATCTTTGATATGATTTTAAACCTTGAAGTCTGCTTTCAGGTGGTACTTAACTATGTGTATTGTGAGGCTATCTACATTGACCTGAGAAAGGGAAAGTGTGTCATAATCTGCTGCAGTAGCATGACTTGACTGATCCGTAACTGGGCCATTCTGGGTTGGGGTCCCACTCTTGCCTGATGAGAGTGGAAGGCTGGCTGTCCATTTTGAGGATAAAATCTTTCAGAACTGTGTATCTCAGCTGTGCTCAAGACAGGACAGCAACCTGCCTTGGGCTACCTCCTTTGCCAGGAAGGCTGTTGAGTGTTCCCCTCACATACTCCAAACACCACTTCACCACACTCCCAGCCCGGGGCTCGGCATGACCATCATCAACAACCCCATGGGGAAAAGCAAGGCGGGGGGTCAGGTACTCCTTATCCACCTCGGGGGGAAGCAAGCTGAGAAAAAGGCAACATCTCCTCCCTGTCATGGATTCGAACCCGCCTGTCTCGCGTGAAAGGTGGGAATATTTACCACTATTCTAACAAAAAGTAAGGTGATCGGTGCTCGGCTTCCCACTAGGACATGGTACGACCTCACCTCTGCTGTGTTTCTGGCCTGTGGGTGGTGGCTGCCCTGGTGTCCATGCAGGGGGTAGAGGGGCTGTGCCCGGCCGGCTCACACTTGCTGCCCTCCCATCGCCCAAGTCAGGCTTCCCTTTGGGGGCTACGGTATTCATTTCTGTGTTACACTTAAAAGGAAAATTCAATAAAAAACAACGATCTCCTCATCTCAAATAAAAAAAATTATTCCTTGGCCCGTACGGGGATCGAACCCGCGACCTTGGCGTTATTAGCACCACGCTCTAACCAACTAAGCTAACCGGCCAATGTGAGAATTTTTTTGCGCGCGCACGCAGCTCACGCACTCTCATGAACACGCCGCGCGTGGAACCCCTGCGGGGGACTGCTCCAGCCGCCGCCGCAGCCTTCCCGCGCCCGCTCTTTTTAAAGAGCGCGTCGGCGGGTGGCTTCGGGGGCCTCCAGCAGAGCAGCGCGGGCATTAACCGAGGGGACGGGAATCCCTAAAATGGAGCCGTTCCCCATCGCTTCCCCCCCTCGCGGCCATGCTGCGGACAGGGGTCCGGCGGGAGGAGGAACAAAAGAGCGCTGCGCGGACGTAAAAGGTAACACTGCCTCCCCGTCGGGGAATCGAACCCCGGTCTCCCGCGTGACAGGCGGGGATACTCACCACTATACTAACGAGGAGGGCGTTCTGACTAATACCCCCCCCTGCCGAGCCCCATGAAGCCCGCAGAAAAGATGAAAGAATTAGAAATACCTATGAGCCTATGAAAAAGTGGTAAAGGAGGAGGATATCATCAAATTCCAGGCCCTTTGCTTCACTCACTGTCAGTGTGAGCACTAAGCGGAGTTCCTCGGTTATCTTCTCCTCTGACATTTCATTTGCTGCTAACACCACCTATCATAAAACGCATTGATAAAAACAACATATTAGGAAGCAAAAAAAAAAGGTAGCAGCCACACAAGCATACGAATGTGTCATGATAATGCAGGAGGTTCCACAAAACCAGGCAACATTTAACAGAGAGATTCCAGCACTCTGCAAAAAACGTTGCAAAAACTGCACCAGGAGACTGACGTCAAATGCACGGCACAAGGAGACAGTCACAGAGGGCGGTGTAAGAACATATGGAATTAAAAGGGAATAGGACAGGAGACATCTACAACAAAGAGCAGAAAGACCCAGACATACATTAGTAAGAAAGAAAGAGAAACCCATACAATAAAGGCTTCTGAGTTGAAAAAGCATAATTTATCAGTGAGATACAGACGCTTAAAAAAAAGAAATTGTGGGCAGTCCACACAAAATTATTAGTTAGCTATAGATCTGGAAGAATCTGCAAAAAGCCATATACCTAAGAAAAGCAAACCTGAGGTGCTCCAAATACAACAGGCAGTGTTTGCCTTTTGTGGCCCCTCAGCCGCATTGGTAGGTCACTAACATCGCGGGACTCCAAAACTGTAGGTTTTTGTCCATCAAAGAGACCACAGTCCTCAGGAAGCTGCTCAAAAGCTTCTGGGAAACAGTACTGAAGCAATACAATCACTCCAGATGCCAGATGAAGAGTACCTGTCATAAGCAGAATATAGATTTTTAAACAGCAGTCTGTCTCATGCTCTCTTGCAAACACCATTTTAAAGGATTTTTAGAGTTTTGAGATCATGAAACATCATAACAAAAAGCACCACTCAGAGAAGAGAGAAGCTTAAGGCCTACTTTGTTTCTGCTATTGTGAGTAGACCTCATCTCACTGTAAGCTACCTTCAGAATAATGAACTACTTAAACTCCAAGCACAGAAGAGCGGAATTCTACACTTCTGCATCCTTTTGTCCTGGTGCTGGCAGCCAAATAAGTCTGAACACTTGGATTCATCACACTGAATTTTTGTGCATATTCTGGTGGTTCTTGAGTGCAAGATGCACTCAAAACAAGTGAAAGCACATTGTTCCAGTAATATCAGCTTCAGAAACAGGAAAGTGAAGGAAGGGTACAGACATTTTTCTCTCAACAATTAAGTTATGTGGAGAAATGCAAAGCCACTGTACCATTCAAAGACTAGAGCAGTTTCAGAAATCCCTGAGCCACGTCTTCCTTCAATACATTTTGATGACATGCTCCGTTTTCAAACCCGCAGAAGGGGCTGAAATGAACATCCAGGAAATAATCTATCGCCTATGGCTCTGCTTCCATTTTTCCCCTGCAAAACATACACTCTTTACCATAGCACACTAGGCTGAAAACTAACAGTTCACAAGTTGCTCTGCATGCAGACAGGACACTGCTGCCTCAGTCATACAGCTGCTCAGGATTTTTAGGGTAGATGACTAAGAACAGTAACATTTTCAGCATACAATTTTAATCAGATGCCCTGTGCTTGTCTGAATCCTCACTGACATTTAACAAATACAGCCATAAAATAATTCGTCCTCTAAAAAAACCCAAAACCAACAACAAAAAAAATGCCAGAACTTGCATACAAACCAAAATGATGCCCACAATCTTAAGAGATACTTAGATAACTGATGATGGCAGATTTTAAATTATGTCCTAACAAATGCCCTTAAATGAAAAAGTAAAGACTTAGCCTGACCGTCCCAAAAGCTTTGAGGATTTTAAGTACATCAAAGACCAAACAAAACAGCAGGTTTGCCCCTCAGCACAGAGCCAGACAGGGTTGGTCACCTTTTTAGGGACCAGGATTAATCCCAGACTTTTCTCCATAAAGCAGTGGCTTGTTCTCCAGCCTGAAAAACTCTTGAGGGCTGTGCACTGAAGAAAAACCTTGACCACAAAAGACATGCTGAGCTACCAGGAACACCAACCAAGGCGATTCCCATCACAGGGGGAACGGCATTAACAATCTAACAGAGAACTGCTGGGATGAGACCTTCTCCAGAGCAGGAGATCACTCGCTAAAGAAAGAGCAACTGGGAATTTGCATGCCAGGAGCCAGAAGATGTAAGCGCAACGGAACGCAGTGCTTTCCGGTAACTGTATATGCCATACACATGACACCAGAAATGTAAACCAAAAGCTTCGCTTTTTGCTGAGTTTAATCTGCCTGTGTGGTTTTGTGCTCCATCTGTACTCATCTTCATCCCTACTTATTGGCACACAAGAAGAAATGCCCATTCCTTGGGCAATCACACTTGATACACTGGTGCCCAAAATGGAAAATTACAAAGAACAGACAAGTCATAATCCTTGCCCTGTTAAAATGCACTTTGAAGTTTGCCCATACAGGAAAAGTGTAAATAGATTTTAGCCCTCATGTTTGGTTAGGAGAGGATCTCTTGGCTTTGGTCTAATAGTCTACTCTGCTTTTACCATGTGCAGAGATTAAAATTTTCCAAGCAATACAGGAGTTTTTACTGCATATTGCCACAAAGAGCAAAGAAGTCTAAAACAAAGCTAGGGAAATATATGAAATTATGTGTTGTTTATAAAGAAATAACATTACTGAATTCAAGTGTCTTGGTTTTGTCACTGTGCTTGTCTATGAAAACTTTTAATGACAATGCGCAATGACTTTGGCATCAGAAAAATTCTGAGCTGACTAGCTTTGTGGTCTGCCTTTTGTGCCATCGTACTTGCTCTGAGAAGACCCAAGGAAGTCAGACTCCACAGCTGTCTTAATGGGATCCACTGTGTTCAGCCAGCATGAGTTTAGGTATCTTCCAAAGGTGTCCTTCCCCTTTGCTGACAGTGTGCAAAGCTTAACCTCTATCTTTTTTACACATATTATTATCCCTGATCTTTTTTAAGTAAGTTCTTAATTTACTGCTCACTTGAGTCTCTTGAAAATACCATTTTCCAATAAAGTGATTAAATAATTATTTCAGTATTTAAAAAAGTGCAAGAAGCACACTTTGTGTTGCTTCTGTAACATACAGATATTGAGCAAAAATAGTTCAAAATACATTTCTCTGTGTTTCAAGATGAGAAGGATGCCTAGGGAGAGCTATATATTCTTTTTGCTTCCTGGAGTAATAAATTAGAATAGAATCATTCAGGTTGGAAAAGATCTC